TGTAGGTGAACGATTGAATGCTCGCGAAGAGAACGTGACAGACGCCGACGCACGCCGAAATTCGGAGATGGACGTATTTCGCGTTCCCCGCGTTTACATTTGATAACTGAGATTACCGGCGTACCGATAAACCGCCCACCGCGTAAAAACGCGCAGTAATGTGTACAAAAAAGTGCACGTCACTTTCAAAACCGGTCACATCGCCGACGAGACGATACCACGAACACCAAGAGACGAACAACCAACTACCGCGACGTCACGAGTCGTACTAACTTGACTAGCGGTTCGGTCAGCCCGGCGAACCTATGGGCTACGACGCAGGAGGGGTGAATACTCATGAGAACGACTTTAGCGCCACCGGCGGGAAAATTTCGAAACGTTGAACACTCGCAGCGTTCACCTTTATCGACGCACTCTCTGTAATGTAATTAAAGATCCATTTATACATATGTATGTATAATTATAATATGAATACGATCTAAAGGAATAGATTTGATACGAATGGACTTTTATTATTAATTTCTCCATATTTATAAAGGATAGCAGAATATTGATTTCGTGCAATAGCGTCCAAAAAGTAGATTCTTTTTTGCGTACAAATGTACGAGTTCGTGTGGCTTTAATATTTCAAAAAGAAATTAACGATATGACTTGTATAATACAACGAACTCATCAAACTAATGAAGTTTCGCACGAAGAACTACGAGGCTTATTGTGCTTGTTGCCGTATTCCTTTGGGTGCTCTGCTGTTTTCTACTACTGAAATTCTTTTTAGTAACTTTTTTACCATTTTCCTTTTATTTAACTTTAAGCCTTTTTATTATCCTTCCACTATATTTTTTCTCTTTCTATTTCTTCCGTTACTTAAGGTCCTTTCCTTTGTTTTTACATTGTTTTTCCTATAGCTACAATTTTTTTTTCGTTCGACCCAGTTGCTTTTTTACAGGTGGAATTCTTCTCGAAATCTTCTTGCATTATTTTCTCATTAGCGGAATTCCCCCTTTTTTATACTTTTAGATTAACCTTGGATCTGTTTGCGAAGTAGCTCGCGTTATTTATTACTGAAATTCTTTCTTCGAAAAACGGAAAGTTTTCTCGTTGCTGGAATTCCTTTCGTGATTCCCATCTCTAGAAAAATCCATTCTCAAAAGTATCGTAGTTATTCGTCAAAGTCGTCATCGTTGTATGTTATATCCCAAGAACGTATTGTCAAATGGTTAAGAGTACAAAAAATATTATTAAACCAATCCCTTATATTAACATAATTTTTCTTAATCTTTTCCATCTCCGGTAGAGAGAAATTATATTGTATCGTATCATCTTTATTTTTCAACCCTGATTGAAATAAATTTTAGAAACGAAGAAAGGTAGATTCGCATCACTTTGGAGATTTTTCCAAGCTTACCAAACGACCGCGACTATTTTCCTCGACTCATCGTGGAATAGAATTCGCCTAATGTATCTAAGAAAAAGGAGAAACGCTCTTAGATTCGGAAAAATTAGACTTTGGCTAGCTTTTCTCTCCTCTGGTCGACTTTCCCCGCAATTTTCCGCTCTTTCTCGAACCTTTGCCTAACGATTGCTTGCTCGATGTACGACATTGCAAAGTGAAATCGTAACGATGTAAAATTACCTTAAGCAAACATATTCCTTCGCAGATACAGAGTATAAGGACAACTTGGAAGCCCCCGCGTTTGTAAAAATCGGAGACACGGAAATTAATTAGAACCCATCGTGAAAAATGCACGTTCACCCAATATTCTGTGAGCCCAGGCGAGTGATGCTTAACCTAGAAGAGGATCCATCAGCGGTGCTCTGCAATACCCTCGCACTCGAGTCAAATATTCTTTAATAAGGTATATAAGTATGTCTGATAGTACAATCCTTATCGATTTCAAATTTTGACCTAAATGTGTGAAATATAATAATTATTTCATTACCTCGTCTTCTATCCGAGCTTCTTATTATTGAAAAGATAATTAATAAAGTGACAAGTCAATTATTATGTCTGACTTGTAATGGGCATTACATATTCGGACGTTCTGGCGAGCAAAGTGACAGAAATCTTTAAAAGATAAGAATATTCACTTAGAATGACACGATCTCTGTCTGAGCACGAATTCCAGACCTATCGAAAGAGATTGAACGCTGCACGCGACCCGGCCTATATGAAACTATGTCACCGCTCGATGCTTCAATTTAACACTGTTATATTCTCGAGGAGGTTGCTATTTCTGAATATTTTGAGTATTCGCCCTATTACTCCCTTTTCCGTTTGTTCTCATCGATTTCCTCGAGGATAAATTAATATCGCGCGAGAAAAAAGGGGGTGCTCGAGCGCGTTATTGCACCGGGATATCCAGTTTCACTTTGTATCTAATGAAACGACCTGACAAAAAGGAACACCGGCGCATCGTTAACAGTGTATCATTTATTCCTTCTCTTTGCCAGGTACACTTTAATTCATAGAAAGTACCGGGTTTTTGTTCGTTCCTGATATTACAGTGCAATCGCATTATACATCTCGTTTCATGGAAGAATCAGGCAGCGGGAAAGCAGAGACCGTGAAAAGGGAAGAACTTATAAAGATACAAAACGGGATTACCTTATCAATCTTATTCTCTGAAATAATCAAGACGTCTTTGCTCTGAATTTCATTCAGCGTTATCCCTCTAACCGTTCGCAGCGCAAACAGCTCCCTTTTTCCCTCATTCGTTAACTTCTTTCTCCAACATTATCGCAGCGGAATAACGCGAAAGTTAAGTCTAGAATACATCATCCCCTATCTCGATTATGGTATTGCTGTCCTTCAAAGCCGGATCGGTAAACGAAAGATATACGGCAGTCTCGCTAGTCAGAGAGAAAAGTTTTATCTGCCGTTTCAGAAATATCAATAACTGATCCCTCGTACAGTTTCTATTCCAACGTGGAAATATACGGCCAGACGAAGCCCCGTTCGCCTTCGTTCCTACCCTTGAATACCATACAGAACATGCCCGAGTGTATCCCTTTCAAATCGGGGAAGATGCAGCGGTCTCGTACAGACATTCAGGAAGTATCCTATTCCGAAAGATGGCACGTGCCGTTGCGAGCGTGGATTTACCGTTTAAAATCCAATGCAAGGCTGCTTCCTCGCGATCTCGCTGCCATCCACTATAGTTACCTTTACCCTCCATGTTGTACGATTAACATAATTCCGTCGAAGATCATCGCCGCGAGTGGATTCGAGTATACCGGTGACACTGTCAGACGGAATCAGGGTCGAGCCGAGTTAAATTATGAATCCCGCGAATCGGAGCACGAACATTCGAGCACCTCGACGAATACTTTTTCCGTATCGGATTATTGTCTTGCTCCACGCTCGAAAGTGAAGAACAAATCGGTGGAACCGATTCGTTAAGCGGTTTCGCGAAACGTTTCCATCTACCCGGGCAAGAGGGGAAAGTTTAATTAACCAGCGCGTGTAGTTGCTTCATAACTCCTACGTAGGTATTTGTCAAAGTTACGAGTTACAAATGCGAGCACAAATGCGAAGAAGTGGTCTCCATTGCTACCTCCGACTGCCTCTCCTCCCGTTTCGCAATCAGCTTCGAGACATATAATCACGAATTTCCCTCCTCCTGTAAAACATCGTCGCGGTATTCGGCGTTGCGGGTTTAATGAAAAATCGATGATCGAAATTGGACGAGGATAGTCTGGAGAATTATTCGATTCGATCGTACGTTCCGCGCACATGTTTATTAATTTCGCTAAATATGCATGCCAGACAGAGTTCCATCTCGATGCGCCATTATTAAACAAGCTTTCAACGAAATCGTGAAATAAAAGCGTAAACAAAACCCGGCATGGTCGGTGTCCTTTTTATTAAATCGCCGCAACGATGTGATTTCATTTTCACCAAGGTACGATGCCGTCGTGAACACTCTCTGTGACGAATGATAATCTTGTTCCCTATTTCTCTGAAGAGAAAAAGGCGAAGGGTATTCGACTCATTGGCTACGCGACGAGATGGTACTCTACCGATTCGTCTGCTCGAAAGCCAAATACCTTGCACGTCTGTAGACGATCGAAGACACTGAATCCTCGACCATGACTTTTTTCACTGCGACGTCATGTCATAACTTCGTCGTGGAAGGTAATACGAAAGGAGCAACCATGGCGGAAAACGAAGAGAGAGAGGAAAAGGGCCGCGGCAGTATGGTCCTCGCCGCTCGAGATTTATCGAAGCCGAACACCGATGCATTAGCGATGGAAGAGCGCGGAAACGAGATGAAGGTAACGAAGCGAGGGAGGAAAATCGACGAGGGTGCCGGGGCGGAGAGGAGGAGGAGGCATCCACCAACCTCCCCAACCCTTAAACCGTTCCCTCTTTTTAAAGCGAAAGGAGGTCTCTCAAGACGTGTAACGAATCAATTGAGATCAGAAACGCGCGGCCATCGTGACGATCTACGGTTCTCGAATACAAGCGGATTCTGAATACACGTTCATATATATGCGATAATACGTGTAATTCGATAATACGTTTTATTCTTCAGCTTCTGGGACGTAAGTATAATTACAGAGGACGCAGTTGAATGCAAGCTTTTGAATGGGTGCTTTGATAAGCTGCTTCCACGTACATAAATCGCACGGTTAAATACTTTCTGACAAATACTTTCTAATTACATTTTTAATTACGTTTAGTTCGATCCTGGTTATCCGTCGCTTATTACAGAATTCGCAATGTTAGGACGAAACACGATGCCGACTATGAAGAAACCGGTATTCCGAGCTAGTCGATCGTTTGTCCTATGTCTAAGGCTCCGATATAACGCTCGTATATCAAATCGTCGCAAACTGCTGACATCAGCCAGCTTGATACAAGCCTTTAAACCCTCTTTTCACCTGGAAGATCTTCCCTGCCGCAAGCGGTAGTTTAATGGGTATAAAAGTCGCGGATTCGCAGAGGAAATGCATCAAAGTTGGATTAAATCAGCATTGCATTAAACGCGTACCATGTCGCGGTACTTGTGTAACGATTCGTATTAATTTCTAACTACTCGACAGACTTTACCCTCGCAAATTCCTGCGAGTGTAACCCTGAGAGTAAACCCTGCATGCCGTTTTCGTCGTCACTCTTGGTCGAATAACGAGCACGATAGAAATGACCTGGAGAAATCACCATTTCGTACCTAGCTATATCATGTTCGACAGAGATATCACAATGCGTGACATGAAATCTTGAAGCAACGGTTGCATCATTTTCGCCACGTCTATCACTTCTTCGTGATTCGCTTCTTCGTTATCCTCGTAAGTTGTCACGCACTGATTCGTGATCAAACTGAAAGCGAAAACACTTAAATCGCAATGCCTGGCAATGATGACCTCGTGAACCGTAGACATTCCTAAAAATGACATAAGATCGTGATAATGCGCAATGAAATAGTTCCTCGTGCGGAAAGCTTGTGTATCATTGATCTTTATACCAACCTACTGCATCGACTCCGATCATCTTCAGCATCCTCAGTTCCGCCACGGTCTCGAAATTTGGTCCTCCGAGACACGTGTACACCCCTTTGTGCACGAGATTACTTATGCCCATCTCCTCCGCTACTTGTTGACCGATTTGCAATATGTCTTTGTCGTACGCTTTGCTCATCGGTGGGAACCTCGGTCCAAACCTGAAACGATGGAACACAGTAAGAAGAGGAAGGAGAAGAAGAAGAAGAAGAGGAAAGTCGTTTTTACCCCGTTGAGGAGGGCGTAATCATTAGAGGGATGCGATGAAGCGCGAAAAACTAGCGAGCATGTTCGATGGGCGCCATTAATATCGGAGGTTGCTATAACAGAGGAAAAAGAGGAGAAATATACGACGAAGGAATCTCGAGTTTCGTGGGGTAGAAGGTTAACGAAAATTCGGGATCGAACGAGACGAGACGCGAAAGCGGACGGGGTGGAAGGCGAAGAAAAGAAAACGGAAAAGCTAGGCAAAAGAATCGAGGGAGATCCTTAGGTAAATACGTCAATCAGATTCTTTGTGTCGTCGGGTAAATAGTTCATCAATCCGATTCAAGGGGTTGTTCCGATGAAATAGATTAATTTTATTCCTTCGACGACCTCAACGATCTCGCACGGCCACCCGTTTCCCGCCCTTCTGCCCTTAGGGGGAAGCACTCGAAGAATCGAGTCGTCGAGCGGTCTGCAATCTGCGAGCGTCGTCGACGACTTTCCTTCCGGAAACGAGCCCGAAAGCCTTTGTCGACTGGAAGCGGATTCGAATTCATTGCCGTTCACGCCGTGAATCTCACTAGCCCGCTTTTCAACCGGCATTTTTTTCCTTATTCTCCACCTGGCTCGCCCTCTCCGTCCATCATCCCCCGCGCTCTTTCTTTCGCACCTTCTCGCTTCCCTTTTTCCTCGATAAAATCGAGGAGACTCTACTATCGCTAATTTCTGGAACACCGAGGATCTTAGGGTTACGCGAGAATCGTGGGTAATGGAAAAACAGGAAGGAGGAGCTAGGTCGATGAAGAGGAGTTAGAGTACGTAGTAACACGAATGGAGTAATGTAACGCGCTTCATAGTGCGGCGCGTCGAGGAGTAGAGAAACGAGGGAAAGTACCTGTCGTCGTTTGGCCCTTGAAGAGGGTTATTCCCCGCAAAACCCATCATGTTCACGTGATCCTTCACCATCATAATGTCGCCAACCTTGTATGTGGGATTTAGACCTCCCGCCGCGTTCGTCGCGATCAGATGGGTCACGCCTATGAGCTTCATAACTCTTACCGGCATAGAGCACTGCATGTGGAAAGAAGGAGAAAAATAACGGTCGTTACTCGGAGGGAATAATTGAAATACGTCAAAAGTCGATGAATTATAAATCTCCGATAACCGAAACATCACTCGTGGCGCAGAATCGAGATATTAGCTAACTTGATTAAATTTATAAAAATAACTCGACGTCAACGATCGTGTCGAGCGAAAGTTTTATCTCTGGTCTATGGCGATACGTCCGTATCCAGAAACAATTCGCAGTTATTGCGAATAAACTGTACCTTCCAAAGTGGATAGCCCTCGTAATAATGAAATCTCCCCTGCATGCACATGATCGGCACACCCTGCAGATAACCGAAAACCATTTGGCCCTGGTGACCCTTGACAGTGGAGACAGGGAAATGTGGGATGTCTTCGTATGGGAAGCACTGCTTATTCTGGATTGACTCCGTCAGCGAACCTGGACACAACTCGTTTTGCTCATTTGTTCCTATTTGGGAATAGACAGAAAGTTAACAGGGCTAGTGACTAATACGTGTTGTCACTGGACCCAATACAGGAAATGCGAAATCGTTTAAAAGCTACTAACCCATTCCGGAACCGCATATTATCGCAATCTTTGGTCTCAGCTTCACGCGATCCAGCAAATATTGCGCCGATTCTTGCAGAGTCTCGAACGTGTATCTGAAAAGATAGATCGTTACGATCGATTGAAATCGTTGCAGCGATCTGTTGGACGAGGTGAAATTGGAACGAGTACACGGCGAAATATCTTCATTCGGGAGAATGGTTGGCAACGTTTCGATTGGGATTTCATACGAACTGTGTCATAAACTGAGGAAAATAATAGAAATATACAGAGATAATAGGGGTGAGTTAGGCGAACAGGAGGGGAACCGAAGTCGTTCGTAGCCGGCCAACATAATTTTACCGTGGAAACTATCACAAAACGGTGCAGTTACCTGTTAAACTGCTAACAGGTTCAAATAGCGCCGGATTTAAGCTGAATGTAGGCTTCGAGGGTATTACAAATCATGCATCGAAATACGCGGGCGGCCGCGTAACGTGTTTACGAGTGTGTATGCGCGTCCCGTGCACAACTCATCTAGACCGTGTATGCATTCACGCGTGCGCGAATGCAGAATGCGCTCGCGAACAGGCTCTACGCACAGATGCACACACAGAATTTCCATGGCATTCGACCGAATAAGCGCGCCTCCAGCATAATGCTACGCGTGACACGATCGAAAATTACTTACAATCCCACTGTGAATTTTAATGTCTCCGTACTCGACACCCTATACGTTTCCTTTTTTTCCCTCACCTTCCTTCCGTTTCCTGTTTCCTTTTTCCCTCGCTCTCCTTTTACTTTCCTCTCTTTTTGTCATCCACGTCGCAATATCCGCGAAAGCTCAAAGCGAAGATTCTCATTTTACCCTGCCCCCAGAAACCTCGCGACTGGAACGTTTCGAAGCGAAACGAGTCTCCAGGATAAAACTGTAATCGCTACCCATTTTTCGTCCCCCGGATTATCGCGAACCTTCCAGGATTTTCATTTCGTTTCATCCTTACCGAAAACTTGGCAATCGCGACGAAGAACCTCGCGATAAGACGCGTCGCGGTTTCGCGGGGGTGATCGTAACGCGTATGCGTCACCGTAAGGGACACCGAATTATAACCCATTGAATGCGCCTTGAATATATGCGTCCCCGTTGCCAATACAGTCATATTCAACCGCGAATCTGAGAATTGCTTCGTAGTTTCGCCGGGCGCCCGTGGAAAAGCTTCGATATAGCCGCGGGTATGGCAAACGTCATTAGACCAACCGCATTCGCGGATGCTCCATCGTAAAACGGGATTGTACGGTGGCCCGTTATGAATGGCAAATGTGAGGTCGACGATTATTATAACGACGTGAATGCGCATCGCTCCGGGCCATGGCAAGGATTCAATGACGCCTCCGCGATTCTGCTACAATATCGCTCGCTCTAATCTCGATTATGGATGCACGCCATACTAGGATCACTGCTTAGGGCATGTTCCTTCTTTGGATTTAATCGAGACCTGACCCTCAATGTCATCGTTCGCTCGGTGATCATTGCGAAATGTTTTTATAAGTGAATCAGCGATACGCAATCAAGCGTCGCTTTCGAATGTGTCGTAAACAGCTAATTTCCACATCGAATCGCCGGTTAACGAAATCATGAATCAAAGTGCACCGCAATACCCTGACAAGATAAACAAGCACATACGTGTACCGATCGCGATAGATCTTACGATAACGTTTCTTACGATCTAATTCCTCGTGACTTTATCCGCTTCCCCAACTTACAAACAGAGCGACGCTATTCGCTACTTTTCGCGACTTTTCGCGATTTTTCGCGGATAGCGCAATGACACTCGAACCTGCACAAACGACGAGAAAAAGACAGGGGAAGCAGCGGGGTAAAAGCCAGGCGGAATACGCGGTAAATATTAAATGTATCGGATAAAAATTCATAGCCGGCTGAATCGAACAGAGGATGCGACGCGGGAAAAAGACCATCGAGCATCAAAGAAAAAAAGGAACTGCGACTGAATTACAAATCCGTCTGCATGTTTGATTCGATGCGCAGTTTTTACGCCATTTTCGTTGACTCTGAGTACTGCATACAAAGTCGTCCGCCATTTATCCATCAACCGTGCAGCGTCGTTAAACGACGAATTTCTGGCTCCTCGGTCGAATAAAAGTAGCTTTGAATCAATCGTGCGGGATACCGTTAAAGAAAATGTTTGATAAAGTGACAGCGATTAAAACGGTCAATTCGATCTCTCTTCGCTCTTTC